CCCAAGCAAGTATGCATCAGTATTAAAAAGTTATTTAAAAACGAAAACAAAATAAAACAAAATAAAATCCACCCAAAAAGGTGATAATGACTGCAGAATGTCTCGGGGAGACTGGTATGAGCCTAAAGACCAAATTGACCAAAGTCAGGGGAACAGGGCAGCTGGGGTGACAAAGAGAAGACCACACACAGGAAGAGGAATCTCACAACTGGAAAATGTTTAAGTGGATGAAAGGTTTTTCCATTATCATAATCCCAACTTTTCCTGTTTCAAAAAGTCATAGATTCATCATAAAGTAAGATAATGAGGCCTATGGATCAATGAATAAAATGGGGGGTGGGGGAGAGGAAATTCCCCCCAACTTTCTTTCATTCCCAGAAGGTGGGAAGAGGAGAAAGGGGACAGTGAAAACTTAGCCAACAAACCTGCTGTTAAAAGTAGTCCCCAGGGCTGTGTATTAGTTGAACAGAGGATGTAAAAATAATAAACGGAAGTTTAAACTGCCTTCAAATTTGAGGAATATTTTACAGGGTGGTTCAGATATGATAGCAATAAATGATTTTTAAAAATCAGGCAAAACGAAACAATCAGACAACCAATTATTCACCCCATCGTTTGTTTCCATCCTTTTCTTGATCCTTTCATGCACCAGCTGGGGCGGGATAAGGGGCTACCTTGACAGTTTCCAGTTATAAGATGACTCTCTGAGTGTACAACCTGGAATGGATGCCAAAGACTTGTGAGCTCTGTCTATTTAAGAGTTAAACAAAACAAAACAAACCCCAACCAACAGAAACAGTGAGACCTCAATACAAGAAAATAACTCACCTTATGTTGTATATAATATACTAACTCCACAGGATTTCCCCCCCCTAAATATATATTTTTGGACACAATACTATCTTGAGGTTTAAGTTCTCTCTCTTGGGTTATTGTGCCTATTTTCTTGTGACAATAAAAGTTATTACCCTAGGGATGTTTTGCTCAGGAATAAAATTTAGGGGAAATTCAGTGTTTGGCTGCAAGCTCAGAGGCTCTGAAAACAAGGATTCCAGTGGTAGGTAAGTCCCTATATCACAAGAGGATTTCAAAAGGCTCTTTACCCAGTTGGTTCAGTGCAGTATTGAAAATCCACCCAATCAGTAGGTGTTACTTCTTTCTGGACCAGAATAGGCAGCAGTTTCCTACTCTTAACATTACCAGTATTACTTCTCAATTATTCTCTTAATGCATGTGAAGTATCTTTAGCGGTCAAAAAAATCTTAAAAAATAAATCTTAGGTTGGTATTTACTATAATTAACAGTACCTTTTGACAAAAACAGCTTTCTTTTTCAAGTGACTCAGAAAGGTTGAATGAAGAATTAAAAATATATATTAACTGCAACCCACCTACAACTCCCAATAACTCACTTCAGCAGGAAAATTTCATAAAGCTGAGCTAAAACAAATAAATATAAACTCACAGTTGCCCAAGGGAGAGAGAATATGGACCGGCAAACAGGCACACAGGTAAAATGACGACAGCAGAAGAATGCTTGCTTATCCAATCCTGAACGCTGAGTGACTGTTTTAGTTTAAGAGCTCTAATTTTTATCTAAAAGGACAGGCCGATTTTTCAGGAAGGGAACACTATAATAATGTAACACCAAATAAAAAATAAACAAAGTTGGATTCTGATAAGGTAAAAATCTAAGCAAGCACTGTGGTTAATTTCCAGGCAGGTTATTAATTTCTCCTAAAAAGAAACTGGGCCTTTGCTTTTAATGAAATAGAAATCATTACAGGTGCTTTTTATACAGATCCATTTTATGTATGAAACCTTTACTCAATCCTTTAAAATGAGCAAAAAGAAAGTGGAAGAAGGATGGTAAGACCCATCACCATACATGAAATAGCAACCACATAACCCATTAGTGAAAAGAACCTACTTTTCTTGGCATGTGATAGTCTGACATATACAGCCCATAGTTAATGATTATGTCTCACCAGCCCATGACTTAACCACAGTGATAGGAGACTGTTCTTTAGGCACAAGTTAAAAAAAGAAGAAACACACAAGATGCTATCGTGACAAAATCATCTCAAAAAGAAGGGAAGGGACCACTTACACATAGTATCGTTAAAGATATTCCCTGATGAAAGAGAAACTGATGAATTTTCATTACTTTTACATTTTATAAGGCCAGCTAACTTATCAGTTAACTTTAGATAAATCTAGTTACACAGTACAATCAACTCACAAATACTTAAAGGTTACACAATCAAAATGGCTACTATTTTTCCCAAACCAAAACAGAGTAAAGCACAAGTCTTTGGCTCTCCTTCAAAAAAAGAAAAACAAAAACAGAAACACCCCAGCAGGTTACCATTCTGAACCAGACCGCTGTTTGCCTACCAGTAGGGCAAATACCACATTTGTGCATCACTGAGTAATAACACCATTAGAAAAGGCAACTTCACAGAAGTTATTGGCTAAGCGAATTCATTTGAATGCTCTGTTTTGAGGCAGCAAACTGTCACTGTTGCAGATTGGGGAGGGCAGTGGGTAAATCAAGGGAATTTGCAGGACAGAAAAGGGCCAGAAAATAAAAGAGAAAAACAACTTTCAGCTTCAACTCTGAAGGTCTATGGATGGTCTGATGAAGTTATACATTCAAGGTAGCAAATGAGAATCATACCAATTTTATGTCTTTTAGAAAAAGCAAAAGAATAAATACATGGGAACAGTGAGGCAAAGGGAAGGGAAATGGATGGGAGAAGAGACTCAGCCACATTAATGCTGTACCAGATAAATTGTGTATATCCTGAGTAGCTGAATATTTGTAGCTGGCATTAGAAATAGTGTCTTGTCATTTGAATAATGGCAGTAGAAACCTCTGCTCTAACTAATTTTTGATTAGAAAAGTAACAAGAAATGGATCGTTGGTCACGTTAGCCTCTGTAAAATAGCCAAGACAGGGCAAGCTACTGGACTTATATTGTGACAGTGTCTATCAGTAAGGCAAAAGAGCTACATATATAAGTCAAGAAACTGAATCTAGAACTCTTATTCTCAGTTCTTCTACACTTTTCCAGAGACCCCTTAAAAAAAGAGTAAGTCAAAGGTCATTTGTATTTCTAGCTATAAAATTCTGGTCTTAATTTGAACAGGAGTGAACACAGTGCTTATTATTCCCACGTTGGCCCTCTCAGAATTGTTCATGTTTATCTGAGATGTCCAAGTCCTGATTTTGAATTCAGTGAAAGCAAATAGTCATTTTCAGAAGAAATTAATATTTTAGTAATTTAGAAAGAATAAAAACTGTATTTCCTATCTTACTGGTTTAATCTCTTAATGGCATAAATTTTAGAAGTTAGAAAAATCAATGCCTTTCATAGATTTTTGACAAAAAAAAAAAAAAAAAAAAAAAAAAAAAAAAAAAAAGGCAGTTCAACAGTCAAGTACTTTTGCTACTTTCCCTTACAGGCTCATATACCATAAAGTAAATCACAGAGAAAAGGAAAAAAGAACCCCAAATTTTGAGGTCTTATCCTAACACTACTTACGGGCACTAGGAAAGCTGTCAGGAGGGAGGGCAGAATGACCTATTAAGGTACTTGGGTTACAGGCACACAACACACACGGACAATATACTACTCCCTGCCTTTCCCTGCAGCCAGCTTGTCTTGAGAGTGTGGGACCTTAGAGAGGTACAGTGAGAATTAAGGCTACAATTTAAGAGATTTTTCTACCCCGCCCCCAAATAAATATACCTTACAAAGTGAAAAACTTATTTTAAATCAATTCAGAACAGTGGCTTTCCTGGTTTTATTCAGAAAAGGAACACTGTATAAGTTAATCTCTGTTCCTGACTAGTTTGGAATATCAAAATGGTGATAGCTAGAATGAGAGCATTTGAAGGCTACAGAATAACATAAGTTATCAGGTGTGGTAATAGATACCCCAATGCAATTTTACTTATTCTGAACTTTAACAAAATCAATATCCCTAAGTTTCCTCTAATACCAGAATTGTTTTGAGTTCCAAATTGAAGGAACTACTTCTAAAAGTTAGGAGCTATCTTACACGTCCAAAGGAGAAGTAAAATCTGCCCAACTTCAGACCAGAAGACTGCCTGCCAAACATGTTGCCTTTTATGGTTGTCTATATAGAAAAACGAAGTCTTGGGGCTCTGTCAGACACACAGTTTCTCTCCTTCTCCCAAGAAACAATAAACACTTAAAGAATAAATATAAGAGAGTTTTAAGCAAAACAAAAAAGCACAAAAGTAAGTGTATTAACAAAACAGGAAAATATGGATTTCAAATGAAAAAATGCCTCATCTTCATTCAGTGCTTCTACCTCCCAATCAGTCATTTTATCGCAACAGCTGCGCTCATGCGAAAAAATCCTTAAAACATACCCAATATATATACAGATATAGCTATGTATATATGTATATATATAATATATATATAAATTTTTATTTAAATAAAAAAGAAAGCTCGAATCCCAAGCCAATATGTGTATATCAAATCCTTGACCAGCCAGGTCTGTAGGGCATAATCAAATTCAATGTGAAATAGTATATAAACACGGTGCCTTGACTGGGCAAATTAAATAATCGCTACTCAAAAGAGTGTTCTGTTTGGACTCTCCTACTGGTAGGCAATGGCAGGACTGAATTACCCCCCTCCCCCCAATTTGTTTCAGTTAACATTATAATGGACACAGAGCTTAGACTGAGGTTGTTATGACCTCAGCAGGAGTTCAGGGTTAAGAAAAGAAACAACAAAAATACAAACTCTTGCTTTTACCCAACCAAAGCAATGCAGTAACATTACATAACCAGTGCTTTCTGTTTTAGTAGTATATCCAGAAGAGGAAATTATAAAAAATCAGGCAAACAGAGGGATGGGGAGAGTGACTATGTCCAATATCCCTACCTTTATAGAGTCTTAGTTCAGTACAGACATGGGATCAGAATATGTGCAGCAGAACTAACCAAATTCTTCTTTATTCTTTATAACATTTTCATGAAGAATCTTTATAGTATTATAAAGCCAAGTCTATGGAAATTAACCTCTAGGTTCTTCTACCTACCTCTGAAAGCCAGGGGCACTGATATTTAGGGATCTTATTTTATATCTTTGTGTTCTGAGGGTAAAATAAAAGAATTCAGTGAAATAATGTAGCTCTGTCCATTTTAACTTAAAGTCAAGTGTTGCAGTTTTAAAACATGGTTGACTGTGCTGGGCTGATTTTTAGCATTCTCTGATTTTACCCAAAATTTAGAAAAAAGCACGGGTCCAAATTTCCAACCATCACCTCAAAGTAGGTCATACACTAACCAAGTATTTCCAGTGCTAATAAATTAAGAGTTCATTCTTAAAATAATCTCCATACAAATCTAACCAACAATCTAAACACTGGCTCTGCTTTCAGATTACATTAAGAGAATGAAAGGATTCCATAACATGGACGTGAGGACTTCATAAATTGTCTGGCAATTATCTCTGAAAAGTTAAAAACAAAACAAGAAATGACCCCCCCCCCCCCCCCCCGAACAAAAATACGTTTGAATAACATAGGAAGCGTAACACATGAAGGCAGTGACCAGAGAGGAAAGGATAATCATGGCTTCCAAATGACAGCTCTCAGAAACCTTGGTTTGCTGCACATTTTCTAACTGGTCTGTTACTGTCTTTTTGTTTATCAAGCACCGGAGGATTCTCAGAAAGGCCGGTGCTTTTTGTCTGTTTTAATTTATGGGGTTGTGAGAGTGGGAAAAGATTGCAAGGCAGGAATTATACACTGGGTATGTAATAATACCAAAATACAAGAAAAACCTACTTCATTAAGATCATACAATTAATCAAACAGAGTGTATATATAATATCTTCTTTTTTTTAAAGCCCTGGATCCAAGGCGTCCAAAGTTATTAAAATAAAGTTCATTCACAGAACAAAAACAAATTTAATCTGAATTGCTTGCAGATACTGCTAATTTCCTTTTTCTTTTTCCTTTTTTTAAATTAAAAAATGCATTGATGTGATCTATGTGCAGGGTTTGTTTTTAGTAGTGGTGTTTGTGCACATTGCCTCCGGTGCTTTCCTTGGACTTCTCTGACCACTCTCAGAGAAGAAGTAGAGAAGTTACTGTTCTGCTACACCTATGTCCCACAACTTGATTCGGAGCAAAAGATTGAAGTCGGACTCCTCATATTTTAAGGAGCAGAACTGGGTGTAACTCCTGATCTCTGGGAGTCATTGTTGTCTCCTCCTCCCTCAGGGTCCTCTGATAGGTTCAGAGAGCTGGTCTTGTTTGATAGGAGGCTGATATTCTCTTGGGTCAAGGCTGATCCATTCGGTACATCACTGTTAACATTAAAAAAAAAAAAAAAAAAAAAGAGAGAGAGTTGGAATTTTTAAATAGGAGATAAAATGATTATTTAGTAGAGTAAAATCAACAGGACAGTTCTTTCAGTAGTATGGAGACTAGGAATGGCTTTCAAACTTTAATTTGCAGCTCTATATCCATGTTTTAGCACAGAAGTTCTCAAACTGCTGCCAGATTTTGTAAATAAAGTTTCATTGGAACACAGCCTGCCTGTTTGTTTACATGGCGTCTATGGCTGCTTTCACACTATAATAGCAGAATTGAGAGTTTTGACAGAGACTATAAAACACATAAATTTAAATATTTACAATATGGCCTTGAAGAAAAATAATGCATGCGTTTAGATAGCCAAACCCTAAGTGTGAAAGCAACAGGGCATTAGCAGTTACCTATATATATGAAAGCCTAAGTGACCATTATGACTTGTCAATCAGTTGCTATGATGACGCACTGACTACCAGGAGGCAGATGCTCTATGCAGGAGCTGCCCCCTTGGTGGTCAGTGTGCTCCCACAGTCAACCTCCTGCAGCCGGCCAACCTCCTGTTGTCCCTCCCCCTGGCCAGCAGGCCTCGATCTGCCCAGATCACCGGCCAGGCTGAGGGACCCCACCGGTGCATTGAATTTGTGCACTGGGTTTCTAGTTGTTATATAATAGTAGAGGCCCGGTGCATGAAAATTCATGCACTGGAGTGGGGACATCCCTTAGCCTGGCCTGCCCCCTCTCACAGTTCAGGAGCACTCAGGGACAGGTGGTGACCTGGTGATCAGGGGAAGGAGATGCCCCATCACACCTCTGCTGCTGACACTGCTGGTAGCACAAGTCTCAGCTGACCCTCGGCAGCTAGCGGGCTGAGGAGACTGGGGAACTCTGGAGGCAGGTGTCTGCCACCTCAGTGGGGGTGAGGGGACTGGAAGCCACCATCTTTAAGGGTGGGGCAGTCAATTAGCATATTCCCTCCTTACTGGCTGTGGGTACCACCATCTTTGCAATGGTGTGAGGGTCATTTAGCATACTTCCTCTTTATTAGATAGGATCAGGAGGGCAACTCAGGACTATGTATCAAAAGTCTCAAATGTTCTAAGGAAATACTTAAAGATGTACAAAAAATTAACTTCAATATTATTTACTGTAGGGTGGTTCACAATATCTGATAGATATCCTTCCAAATCTGTGGAAGAATTATTAGATGACATGGAATAGAACAAATTAAAAACCAGAGAGATGAAATAGTGGGTGGGTTTTGAAAGAAGCTAACTGCCCACGCTTCTTAAAAAAGACTAGATAGATATATGTCAAAATGTAAACACTGGTTTCAGGTAAATTAAAAAGCAAGAGAAAGAAGGAAATGTAACCAGAAAATTTCCATTAAGTCTTAACAGATAATTCAATTTTGGATCTGTTCTAAAATAAAATTTTAAACACCTAAATTTATGTGAAAATATTCTTTCTCAATGTATACAGAATAATGACACTTTAAAAATCAAATCATTATGGGAGTGGGGGGGGAATTGGTAAAATATGTACACATATAATACCTTAATAAAAAAATCAAATCATATTTCTAAGAGTATTTCTGTCATGACTGTGTAATATATGACTATGGAAATGACTCTTTACCTGAATGTCAATGTAAGATCCTCAGTTGGAACCTTAGTTTGTGGTTCTGGTTGTCCATTTTCTGCTTGCTTATTTGTATTCAATTTGCTTTTTATATCCATAGAACACTGGTTCTCCTTTGAAAGAGAAGGAAATAAATTCAATTAGCTTCTATTTAATGGTGATAATGGAAAGGAGATCAAACACAGATAATACAAACTGATGACCCAGAAATCATATTGTTTTATAAAATGACTAAAGAAACAGGCAGACTAAAAGAGAGACATACACAATAGAGTACAATCCACTTGTTCACTACCCAAGCTGAACAATAAGGGGGAGAATGCCTCAAGTTAACATGGAAATAGCTCACATAAATGAGGACTTAGAAAAAGCAAGCCAAATATAATATCTATCTATAATCTACTTAATGAAAACAGAAAACACTACCCATTTGCTTAAAAAAACAAGAAAGCTACACAACAACAAAGTCAGTTACATGCAACCTGGGGGATTGGTTCAATCGCCTAAGATTCAAAATTTAGTGAAATGTTAGTGCAGTATGAAGCAAACCCTAGGCATATTCATGGATATACTGTCACAGGAAAGAGTGTGTAGATTGCATGAATAAGAAAAGCCAGATCATCAATAACAAGGGTTATGAAAACTAGAATGCTATTTGGTAACATGTAGTACATCTTTATATAACATGACAATATCAGCAAAATCATAAACACCACACTCCCACTGCTTCCCTAATCAGTATATTTAACAGAAATGTAATACTTCCAACTACCTACCTTGTTTTCCCTAAACGTTTCTTTTTTTTTTTTTGTAATGCAGAATTCCAACACAAAGAACACAGTCAAATCAAAAGGGAATAATAAAATAGGATGAAAGCCATCTTCATGAGACTTATTCTAAGCACTTATCACTCCTTGGAGTGCCCTGGGGGTGATGATTCTACACTTCTGGGTGATTCTACAACTCTAGAGCTACGAGTTCCATGATGGATGTTTTTCTTTCACCTTCCCTCTCGTTTCCCACCGCAACACTCACCAAACTCAGTTCCCGGGTTCTCTTCCCGATTTCCCTTTCCACCTGGTGCAGTTCCAAGCTCAACTGCTCACTTGAGATCATTCCAGGCCATTTTGGAGGTGGTGGCGGTGGTTGTGACTGGGCTGCCAGGGTGTTCACCTCCCTCTGCAACACCAGCCTGTTACTAACAGCCTAATGCATGAAGCCAAGCACATAGACAATTCAACACATTTCACACCATGCACAGAATAGCTAGGTCAAATTTCAGACCACAGCCATAAGCAGCTTATCACTCAGGTAGTTGCAATAAAAATGGGGCAACTGTGAAATACTGTCTCTTTATTTGAGTACCATTTGAAAATAAAAGTATAGAGGATTTAAACTTAGCAGAGACTGGTTTGGCTCAATGGATAGAGCGTCGGCTTGGGGACTGAAGGGTCCCGGGTTCGATTCCGGTCAAGGGCATGTACCTTGGTTGCGGGCATATCCCCAGTAGGGGGTGTACAATAAGCAGCTGATGGACGACTCTCTCTCATCGATGTTTCTAACTCTCTATCTCTCTCCCTTCCTTTCTGTACAAAATCAATAAAATATATTTTTTTAAACTTAGTGAACAGTAATTTGATCTTAGGTATAAGTAGCTCTTAAAGAAATCAACATTAAATGTACATTCTTCCCCCTTTATTGAAATTTCTCTGAAGTAAATCCTGTAATTTCAATGAAATCTCATTAATGGCAAGGAAGGACCTTTAATTATAGTTGAGTGAAATATATGACAAATTTCCAAATGATGGTGATATTCTTTTGGGACAGAAAATGGGACTAGAAATTTCAACTAAGATAATACTGAATTCGGAATCTGAAAATCTGGGCTCATGTTTCAATTTCTGTAAAACTAAAAATCTTGCCGAAACCGGTTTGGCTCAGTGGATAGAGTGTCGGCCTGCGGACTGAAAGGTCCCAGGTTTGATTCCCGTCAAGGGCATGTATCTTGGTTGCGGGCACATTCCCATTAGGGGGTGTGCAAAAGGCAGCTGATCGATGATTCTCTCTCATCGACGTTTCTAACTCTCTCTCTCTTCCTCTCTGTAAAAAAAAAAAAAAAATCAATAAAATATATTTAAAAAACAAAAAAAAAAAAACCCCCACTAAAAGTCTTCAACCAAAAAAGGGTAATAATAACATCTGCCTAACATACCTGTCAGGGACATTGTATGAATCAAATAAAATATGATAATAACTTATAAACTAAAAGAACTATATCGATGAAGGTGCTATTATTATATAGAGGCTATTTTTATTTATTTTTTTCAGAGACTATTTTTAAAAGTCAAAGATCTAAGCTTCTATTTTTTAAATATGTACAAATAAATGCTGGGACTTAAAGAATATAAGACAAATTTTTAAAAGTTAAAGAAATATAAGAAATTAAAAACCAATTTTAAGTAAAAGCACATGTTGATAAATATCTATTGTGAAAATTTAGATAACCTGTCTTATCCTCAGGTACTAAAATGATAATTTTGTACCAGAACTAAACTCTAAGCTTTCAATTCTTTGAAGAAAGGACACCTATGTATTAGTAACTATTGAAATAGTACTTCAAAAGATTCTCTTTCTAAAATCTTGGAGCACTCTTCGAAAATCGGAGTAAAAAAATATCTATAGGCTGGTACCTCTAGTCCACGTAGCTGAGTCTGTTGGCTAATTTGATGGTTTAGCTGCTGTAATTCTAGTCGTAGCTGTTCCCTGTCAGCAGATGGAAGCGGTTTGCCATGACTGGCCACTTCTGACATGGATATTCTCTCCCTTTGGTGGGAAAGAAAGAATGGAACAAATTACAATGTTTATTTCTTTTTTTAAATACAGACTCAAAAAACAAATAAGGTAAGTAGAATAGCCGGAATCGGTTTGGCTCAATGGATAGAGCGTCAGCTTGGGGACTGAAAGGTCCTGGGTTCGATTCCGGTCAAGGGCATGTACCTTGGTTGCAGGCATATCCCCAGTAGGGGGTGTGCAAGAAGCAGCTGATCGATGACTCTCTCTCATCGATGTTTCTAACTCTCTATCTCTCTCCCTTCCTCTCTGTACAAAATCAATAAAATATATTTAAAAAAAAAAAAAAAAGGTTAAGGGAATAATTTTAAAGGTTTGTAAAAGTGAAAAGAATGACTCATACCTCTCACTGAAGTGTCCCTGAGAAGGTATGTTTTGATGAGGTGAGTAAGCAGAGCCTCCCCAGCCACCATGGGTTCCATATGGACTGTAATCTGTAAGAGAGGAGTAATTCACTGTAGAGCAGTGTTTCCCAAACTTTTGTCATATGTGTACCCCTTCTATAATTTTCCTAACGCTGAGTACCCCTCGTACTCATGAGAATGTAGAATTAGGCCCAGCTAAGCACAGTGCAATGTATATCCCCACCAAACTCTTCCCATAACCCTGGGGGAACGCGTACCATGCTTTGGGAAACACTGCTGTAGAGCAGCATAATCCACAGGTTTGATTCTCCCGGGACAGTCATGGCCTAAAAGGCACAGGCATGGTATGTACACAGCTATCTGGAAAGATGTCTCCCAGGACAGTAACAGGGCACTGATGCCTGTTTTCCCCGATTGAAACATCACAGTCTTTATAATTTCTTTTGTTTCAATTTTTAAAAAATGAGAATGCATTATTTTTTAATAAAGAGTAATGAAGCTGTTAAAAAACTAGGCAATCTTCATATAAGACATTTAATTTTAGTTTATACCCCTAGAATTTCCCGTGTTATAATTACCTTCCTACAGGGATAATTCTGAGGAAAAGTTTAAAGACTTTTAAGATTATGGGAAGCACTGACAGTAAGAGAGTAGTAGGGAGGCTTTTGGGCAGGGTGGGGAGTAGAGGGTGGGGGGTAGCAATGGGGGGGGGGGGGAAGAGATAGTGGGGGATTATATCTGTGAACCCTCTAGATGAGATTACCCCGGAGGTTCTTACCTGAAATGTTAACAGATTTTGTGGGAGCTCCCTGAGGTGCCATAGCCTGCATTGGGCCAGCACCCTGATATATTGTTTTGGAAGTTCGAGAGATGGCACCAAACCGAGACACTGTTGGTCGGTCTCCAAATGGGATGAGGTCATCATCACTGGTTTCTGTTGCTCTTCTCTGATGATCCAACCGCTGGTCTCTCATTCCTTTACTCTCCACGTTCTGATAAGTAAAATGAGAAATCCACCCCACACTTAGGTCTTTAACATAATTTCCGCTAGCACTGTAATTAGGTTGAAAAAGAGTATAATATCCTTACTGGTAAGATTAAAATCATTAGTTGCCTTTGGTTGGTTGTCATATAAAACATTACTTTTTAAACCTTTGACTATTCCACAATATGTTTTACTAGAGGCCGAATTCATGCACTGGTGGGGTCCCTTGGCCTGGCCTGCGAGGTATCGGACCAAAACTGGTTCTTTGACATCCCTCGAGGGGTCCCAAATTGTGAGAGGGCAGTTCTCGAGCGACACACCCCAGAATCGCTCCCTCCTCTCTGGTTCCAGATGCATCACCTAAGAACCACAGCTGCCAAGTCACTGTAGCTCAGCAGCTTCTGCGCTAAGCGTTTGCCCCCTGGTGGTCATTGCACATCATACCTGTCAGTCGCACAGTAGAATGGTCACTTAGGCTTTTATATATGTAGATATCATGAGTCAGCCCATATATACATTCAAATATAATTTCATGACAAATATTTACCCTTACTATATGAAATGTAATCTTGTTTTTATATTATTATTCTAATTCATTTCTTTAAAAACTCATCATGACCCAATCAGTTAATTTCAAAACTCAGTAGTTAGAAAAACACTGTTTAAAAATGTGTCAACATAGGATTTTCAAAGGGATTCTAGTCAGAAAGAAATAAGTAACGAAATAAATAGAAATGGAAATCTAATTACTAGGCCATTGCTACTCAGAGTACATAGTATGGGAGCAGCAGCGATTGGAAAATATTAGAAATACAGACTCTCAGGTCCCACCCCAGTCTTTCTAACTTGAACCTGCATTTTAACAACTCTAGGTAATTTGTGGGGACATTCATGTCTGAGAAACACTGAGCTAGACTTCTTTCACCATTTAAGAGATTTTCAATTACATCAAGGTAAGGTTGGCACATCTGATTTAAGAAAATGAGTTTTATTTTGCTAATATTTGTTACTACTTTACTATAACAACTTTCTGAAAGCCAGATACAAAGCAAGGGTCCCTGTTACCTCTTCCTCGTCTCATTCCAGTTCTTAAGAGAGTTTTCTATGGCCTAAAAACGTGTTCCCAATCACATCATAAGGTTCATTTTTTGCTTCTTCTTCCTCTATATCCCTTTCTGTCTGTCTGTCTGTCTGTCTGTCTATCTTTCTGTCTCCTTCCCTCCCTTCCTGCCTCCTTCTGGCATCTTATTATATTTATGCTGTAAATATCACTTTACTCATTTATAGCAGTATTAGCATCCAAGTCATCCTTTTCTATTAAGAGAATTGGTCTTTTAATCAGCTGGACAGATACTTGTCTACGAAAGCCAATATATTAATCCAGGAAACCTCTGTTACAGTTAATAAGGGCAAATGTAAAGGAATAGTCAAGGCAAACCTTTTAACCCAGCAATACTACTCTAAGCTTAATTTTCATGCATGTGCACAAGGAGACACACATAAAATGTTCATTGTAGCTGTGCACATAATAGTAAAAGATAAAATAACCTAAATTAAAAAAAAATAGCCTAAACAGCTAGCAGAAAAAGAAATTTTATATATATATATATATATATATATATATATATATATATATATATATATATTGTCAGATTTCATTTATCTAATGGTATAGGATAAAAGCAGTTAAAATGAATAAACTTGAACTACAGGGAAGGAGGGAGGGGAAACATGAGATTAGGCAAATATATACAGGAGGATTTAACTACTTTTGTGATATTTATTTATTTTTAAAATATATTTTATTGATTTTTTTTTACAGAGAGGAAGAGAGAGGGACAAAGAATTAGAAACATCAATGAGAGAATCATCGATCAGCTGCCTCTTGCACACTCCCCACCAGGCATGTGCCTGCAACCAACGTATATGCCCTTGATCGGAATTGAACCGGGACCTTTCAGTCCCCAGGTCGATCCTCTATCCACTGAGCCACACCGGTCTCGGCTACTTATTTTTTAATAAAGAAGTAATTAAGATAAAATACTGTTACATTTTAAGCTTGGGTACAGTGGTGTTACATTATTTTTGTTTGTTTAAAAAAATAGCATAAGTGTAACATTTCAGTATACCATAGCTCACTTGACGTTAAGTAGCTTCAAATCTGACTGAAAAACTATTGTTCACTAGATTCGATTTTTTTTTTTAATATATATTTTATTGATTTTTTACAGAGAGGAAGGGAGAGATAGAAAGTTAGAAACATCGATGAGAGAGAATCATCGATCAGCTGTATCCTGCACACCCCCTATTGGGGATGTGCCCGCAACCAAGGTACATGCCCTTGACCGGAATCAAACCTGGGACCTTTCAGTCCACAGGCCGACGCTCTATCCACTGAGCCAAACCGGTTTTGGCTAGATTCCACTTTGTTGTTTAAACTTCAAAGTTGTAAAGGAGTTATAATTTCCTGGACAAGAAATCCAGGATTTTGATTAATTATGCAAAATAATTTAATTTTGGTTCTAAACAGTTGTTGTGTTAACTGCTAGCTGTACAGAAATATAATAGATGCTCTTCTTTGTCTAGGTAAGTATTAATATTTTTATTTACCCCCCAAAAAAACCAAAAAGTATACTTTAAATAACTCAATTGCATAGTATAGATTATGGCCTGAAACTCTTAAGCAAAGCTCAATTATGTATCTGTACTATATGGGGAGATAATTTACTTGGTTATCTTGGCTTATATTAATTATGATTTAGTTATTACACATACCATCATTTCCACACTCCCTGCTGCCACAGCATCTTTGGGTTTTGCATCTTTGGTTCCAATGTAGGAGCCGATGGTGTCACATGACCAGGGAGAGTACTGGCTATAATCATTTCCCTTATATTTCCCAGCTACCTTCAAGTCTTCATCCAATAACTAAAGAAAAGGAAAAAAAGAAAAGAAAAAAATAGGAAATGGGTCTATGAATAACAACACAGAAAAAGCAGGAATTTCTTAGAACATCATGCCCCAATCAGTTAATTTCAAAATTCAGTAGTTAGAAAAACACTGTTTAAAAATATAAGTGCCAATATAGGATATTCTATAAAAACTGTTTATTTAATTTGTTACAACAGTTTTTATAGAATATAAAACAAGTGAAGAATGATGTTTAGCTTTTACATTTTGTTAGCAGAAGGTCAGAAAGGAAGTATCTCAGTGTTTTTTAAGGAACAAGCTGGAGTTTTGAGGTTTGATCATCCTCTTCCTCATTAGATCATGTCAAAACATAAGCAAATATGTACCAAGCCCAAATAACTAATCAAGTTTTGCTTAACCGTCCCCTCAATAACATACCAGGTAAACAAGAGCATTAAAACTATTTTGAATGTTCTATATGGTAGTAACTTTTTTTTACTGAAATCTCTTTAACAGTAATAATTCATATCTTGAAAATTTTCTGGTCCTGAGGTTGAATCAATGGAGTGAAAGAATAAGATGCATAAAGATGAAATCTGAAATTATATGACAGAATAGCTATTTTTGTTCTAACATATTTTTACTAAATTCACAACATTCATACTTGTGTAATGTTTTGCACAAAGTACTTTAATGCACACTATCTCTCTCATTTGTTCAAGTCCACATGATCTAACCAAGGCTGCTCCATCAGTCTAGGGCAGTGCTAGACATACAACTTCAATACTGCTTTCACTTCAGATACATATATTCATCCGTAGGGGCCACTGGTACACATAACTGGCTCTATGCCTACCTCCATCTAAAACAATCTTGTTTTCTGAATCATCACTATTGATTGGTCTTCTGTGGGGCACAGGGTCTGCTGTTTCCAAATATCACTCAGTTCAACCACAACTCCTACTTTTATGGTTAATACCTCCCCTCCCCCCCATCCTACCTCTACTTTTAAAAATATATTTTTAAAATTAATTTCAGAGAGGAAGGGAGAGGGAGATATAGAAACATCAATGATAAGAGAGAATCATTGGTTAGCTGCCTCCTGCATGCCCCAAACACTGGCGATCGAGTCCACAATTGGGGCATATGCCTTGATTGGGAATCGAACCATGATCTCCAGGCTTATAGGTCAACCCTCAACCACTGAGCCACTGTGCTACGTTTAGTTTTAAAATTCTGTCTCTTTATCATTTCTCTTCCACTTACAAACTTGGTGTAGAACAGCTAGCTTTTTAGAGACACGCCCTACTAACAAGGGTTTTTCCCCTCTGACCATAATATATTACGCATTTGTTAAAAGGAATGAGAAAAGGTCATATATACTGACACAGAAAGACATGCAGGGTAATTGGTTAAATGAAAACAAAAAAACAAAAATACACAACACCACACAAAACCTTAAGATATATTACTAAATGATACTTATTAGTTCACCCTTAGAAAAGTTGAAATATCTAATAAACTGACAATGATATAAAAAATGGAAATTTTAGAGAAAATTTTTTACGCGTTTGTTACTGAAATTTAAATACAGATGACCCACGAACAACACAGTTTTGAACTGCATAGGTTCACTATACACAGTTGTTTTTCAATAAACATATGGTTGGCCCTTTATCCCCAGGTTTTGTATCCACAGATGCAGAGGGTCAAATGTATGCATAGTTCTATGCCATTTTTTACAAGGGCTTTGAGCATATGTCCCACTGAGGGACAACTACACAGTAGTAAAGTTTTAAGGGAAACAAAAGTTATCCTCAGATTTTTGACTTCATGGAGTTGACACTCCTAAACCCCATGTTATTAAAGGGTCAACTGTATATAGCTTTGCATGTCAGTAACTAGTTATTATTCACTGAATGCCTGCTATGAGCCAAATGATTATGTCTCATTTAATCTTCAACGCATCACTATGAATAGGCTTCACTATGCTTGATTTACAAAGAGAAGCCTGAGCTTCAGGGTTCAGGGAGGCTAGGGAACTTACAAAAGATCGCACACTGGGTGACACAGCTAAACCTCAAAGATGTTTGATTCCAAAATTAGCTCACTTTTCACAGTGTCATATTGCTTTCCATAATTCTTAAAAAACAGTAGGGCATAACAAGATTCTAGGATGTCTCAACACAGTTTTCCATTATGTAATGTTTATACTTTACAAGTAAAATTACATTAATAGATGTTATGACCTTCACAGACCCAAAAGGTTACTGTTTATTATAAGGAATCTGATGCACTTCACTTTTCACTTCCTGTTATTCATTATCTGCCAGACAGCAGTGTTGCTTAGAATAATAATTCTACACATAAAGGATGTGAGAAATTTTCCTTACATAGCATCAACTACAACACCACTGAGAAGATCTGTTTGACATATAATAAAACAAAACAAAACAAAACATGCACCATATATACATATTTAATAAGCTCAGGCAGTATGTACAATCAACAAACCAGAATACATATCAATAAAGCAAAGGCTGGTTTTTTGAAAAGACGAAATTTTAAGTCCCTAGCATAACTGAAAAAAATTAACTGATGTTAGAAGTGGAAAAATGAACACCACTATAGACCCTGTAGACATTAAAAAGACAATAATACTCATTCATGGTGACTATTAAGAGTGTCCTGTAAAAATATAAAGAAGATAACCCCCAAAAGTGTGGTTTATTGCCCTGTAGTACTTTAATCAGTTTATTCTAGCAACCTTATTTCAGCATTCTTTCCCCCCCCCTAATATTCACTATTAATACTAGTCTGTCTCTTCTATTCTTTGAATCATCTTTACCATCTTGCTATTTTCCTCTTTATTTATTTATTAAATATATCTTTATTGATTTCAGAGAGAAAGGGAGAAGGAAAGAGAACATTAATGATGAGAGAGAACCACTGATCAGCTGCTCCTACATGCCCCCTACTGGGGATTGAGACTGCAAATAGGCATGTACCCTTGACCAGAATCAAACCCAGGACCCTTCAGTCTGCAGACTGACACTCTATCCATTGAGCCAAACCAGCTAGGGGAGTTATTTAAATAAATATTTGGCACATCTCATTTATACTAGTAGTATAAACTAAAGAGAGGGGAATTTTATTAATTTAATAAAAATTATCTACAAAAAAAGTAAATATAATGATGAATTATTAAACGCTCCATTCACTAAAATATTGCAAATAAGTCAAGTATACGTGCTATCATTCCTTTTATTCAAAACCATTCTGGAGGACTAGCTATCACAAGATAAGAAAAAAATGAGACATAAGGATTGAAAAGAAAAATGGTCATTATTCATTGAGGATATGACTGTATGCAAGAAAATCCTTAAAAAACAACTAACAAATATGAAAATTAATAAGGAAGTTTAGCAAGGCTGCTGAATATGAGGGTCAATACACAAAAATATTTTTTTCTCTACATTAATAATAAAGAGAAAATAAAATTTCAAAAAGGATTCCATTTAAAATAGCTTAAAAATCAATTATCTAGAAGTAAGTTTAATGAAAGATGTGCAAGACTGAAAATTAGCCCTAATCTGTTTGGTTCAGTGGATAGAGCGTCGGCCTACGGACTGTAAGGTCTCAGGTTTGATTCCGGTCAAGGGCATGTACCTTGGTTGTGGACACATCCCAGTAGGAGGTGTGCAGGAGGCAGCTGATGGATGTTTCTCTCTATCCTTCTCCCTTCCTCTCTGTAAAAAATCAATAAAATATATTTTTTTAAAGACAGAAAATTATAATAATGAGAGAAATTAAAGAAGATTCAAGTAAGTGGAGGCAAGACCATGCTCTTAGAAGACTCAATAGTGAAAAGATTCACTTCTCTCCAAATGGATCTAAAGCAACACTGTCTAATGAAAATATGAGACTCACACATGTAATTTAAAAATTCCTAACAGCCACATTTAAAAAATAAAAAGAAACTTAAAATTAATTTTAATAATGTATTTGTAAAACTAACACTAGCATATCCAAAGTATTATCATTTTAACATGTAATTAATAGAAATATATTAATGAGTATCTTGCTCTTGAGGGTACTAAATGTTCAGATCCAGTGTACATTTCATGCTTATAGCACATGTGAATTTGGACTAGCCACATTTTTTGCACTCAGTAGTCACATGGGACTAGTGGTTACATATTGGACAGTGCAGATCCAAAGAGTCAATGTAATCCTAATAAAAACTGCAGCATATATTTTTGCGGACAACAATATGCTGATTCCAAAAGGTGCCTGGAAAGTCTAAGGACCAAGAACAGCAAAGGTAACCTTGAAGAACAATAAAACTGAAAAACAAACGTCACCAATTAATAAGATGTATTACAAAACTACACTGAGACAATGTGGAGTTGATCTAAGTACACAGAAATATATCAATTAAACAGAATATGTGTCCAGAAACATATCTAGTCTTCCAACCATGATAAAGGTGACTACAGAGCCCTGGGAAAGGATGATCTTTTTATTAAATGATGCTGTGTCAGTGAGATATCCTCTGGGGGGAAAAATGGATCTTGACTCTTTAAACACTAGGATACAAAAATCTAGACAGACTATAGATCTAAATGGGAAATAAAAAGGTAAATCTTTTAGAAGAAAACATGGGAAAATGTTTCCATAACATTGAGAATAATAATAAGCAAAGACTACTTAGGCAGGACATGTTAAATGACTGATAAAGAAAAAATGGATAACCAAGACTAAAAATGATGTGCTTACTTCCTCTTGATGGAAGGTAGGCGGCAATGTTGGTGAAGGTGCAAAAGGAGGTGGAGAGATAACCTTCCTTTCCTCTAGTTGGGCCATTATTTCCTTTCGTCTTCGATGTAGCTCATCTAGACTAGGGTGGGGCTGGGGAGGAGGAGGAAGCCGGCTATAAGGAGGCTCCTGAAAATGCAAACATTAGTAAAAATTGAAAAGAACTTCAAAACACATTTATTTATTTAGCATGTATATTAAATAAGCAGTAGCTTATTTAGCATTTGGAAATACCAACATTTAAAATAAAGCAAAACAAAACCCCCTCCAGCCCCCAAATTCTCAGGATTTCCCAAAGAGCTAAATTTAAGTTTCTTTTTTTGGTCAGAAGCCATAATTCCCAAACAGATCTAGAATTGTTAATAAAACCATCTAAAGTTCAGAAACTATGAAGGGTTATTAGTGAGAGTGGGGTGGGTCCCCCCCCCCTTAATAGTTTAATTTAAAACAAAAAACTACCCAAATTATGACAAGATGAAAAATAAGGGCATGCTTTATTTTTTTTAAACAGTCACTCTAAGCAATAAGTAAATTAAATCTATGTAATAAGAAAAAAATACAGCATACTCTGATGTACGAAGGTCTGATCTGAGTTGGATGAGGAGCCACTGGGTAGTAACCCTCCACCTGTTGGTATCTTTCTCTGGATTCTGGTACATAGGATGGTACTGCTGCAGGTGGAATCTCAATGGGTATAGGACTATCCCGGAAAATCTCCTCTCTTGGATAAGACTGAGCAGGGTATATTCGACGGCCATCGTAGTGTGGCGGGTACATAGGTGGGTACTGTTGTGGCTGCGTGCCATATTGAGAGTTTACAACACGATCTTGAAGGTAGGGTGGGTAATGATCCAAGTAGGGAGGACCAGGCTCAGGAGCAGTTGGTGGAGGTCGGACAAAGCGGGACACACACTGTGGTGCAGTGTAGTACACACCTGTATGTTACAGAAGAGCAACCAGAGCAACAATGAGCTGATTTAATTTTCTATACAAGACTGTCCATTAAAATATTTCAACACTAAATAATTAACAATCAACTAATTTCTTTAGATATTTCCCCTCTGCTATGTACTCAGGTTAACTTTATGAAAAATAACATTTTAAAAATGTCCTTAAAAGTGACAATTAAATTGACCTGGAAAAAAAAAAATACCTATTTAGAATCTATTGGGGTACAATTATAGGTTGGCTCTCTTAATTGTTTGACCTTCTTTCAGATGTGCCTTAACACAATGCAAACATTGGAAAGCAAAAAACTACATTTCCCTGAAGCTCAGGTTACACAAATCACTCATTTGCATGAGTTCTGAATGTGCCACTGTGCTAGCTGGAAGGAGATCTGTAAACCTAGCAGCTTCCCAGTTTCCAGACTTTTGCCTCAAGTGATGTGATTCTGGAGCTAGCAGTTAAGGATATAAGGTCCCAATTTTTACTGCTTCTTCACTAAAACAGGTTCTTTCAGCAGCTAGTTCTGGGACTTATTCCTGCAGGCCTATCTTAAAGCTGCTTTTCCAGCACTTTCCATTTATTTTATAAACACCTAACTTCATGCATTGAACCTCTTTCTGCTAACTATTGAACCCTAACTGGTAAACTGTATTTAAGGTCACTTCAACAAAAGTAGTTTGGTTTTTCCGACAATGGATAATCAAAAGAAAAATACAAACCAATTTTTATCATATTTTCATATATATTAATAATGCTGTACCAATTAGAACTATCCTTTAGAAAGTAGAGAAGACAATTCTGATTCACAATTGAGAGCGCCTTGGGAAAAGGCAATGGAAAACACCTTTAATCTATCCCCATTTAAAAATAACATAACTATTATATTTACTAGGAAACATAAACATTCATGGGATCAAGTCTGAAACCCAAAATTGAACTGGTGACTTCCTGATTCAACCTGACGCTCAACCACTGGATTACACCAGCCAGGCACAGTTTTCTATTTTTTATATTTTTATTGATTTAAGAAAGGAAGAAAGAGTGAGAAAGAGATAGAAACATCAATGAAGAGAAAAAATCATTGATCAGCTGCCTCCTGCACGCCCCACTCTGGGGATCAAGCCGGCAACCTGGGCATATAGCCCTGACCAGGAATCGAATCGAGACCTCCTGGTTCACAGTTGGTGTTCAACCACTAAGCCATGCCAGCTGAGCCACAGTTTTCTATTCTTAACTAATATTGATTCTATACTACAAACTCTATATATGTATGCTGCCTTTTTCTTTAAAAAATTTTTAAAATATATTTTTATTGCTTCCAGAGAGGAAGAAAGAGGGAGAGAGAGAGAAACAATGATGAGTCATTGATCAGCTGCCTGCCTTACCAGGGACTGAGCCTGCAACCCAGACATGTACCCTTGACCAAAATCGAAACTGGGACCCTTCAGTCCATAGGCCAAAGCTCCATCCACTGAGTCAAACCGGGTAGGGCATGTATGTTGCCTTTTTCATATATACTACAGGACCCAGAAAAATAGTCAATAACTGAAAAGAAGAAAAATATACTGTGTGTATTTAACTTATATGCATTGTAATAATAAATTCTTTTTTCATGTTTGAAGAAAATTTTGGTCAGGATAACATATACTGCCTAAGCAAATTTCCATTGTTAACTTGGCGACTAGTTATTTCCATAAATATAGGGTTGGGCAAAAATAGGTATACAGTTATGAGTACATAACACACTTTATTCTTATATTATTATTTATTAATCATATATTTATTTGTAGAACTGTAAACCTACTTTTCCCATCCCGTGTATGAACATATTTAACATACAACTAACTGCTTTTAGTAGTTAAGGTAATTTTCTTTTATAGGTTTGTTACTTCACGTATTTTATACTGTTTAGCTGATCATAAAATCTGTTTTTCCTCAAAGTATTAAAAAATACACTTATCTGCCGAAACCGGTTTGGCTCAGTGGTAGAGCTTCGGTCTGCGGACTGAAAGGTCCCAGGTTCGATTCCGGCCAAGGGCATGTACCTTGGTTGCCGGCACATCCCCAGTAGGGGGTGTGCAAGAGGCAGCTGGTCGATGTTTCTCTCTCATCGACGTTTCTAGTTCTCTATATATCTCTCCCTTCCTCCTCTCTGTAAAATATCAATAAAATATATTTTAAAAAAAATACACTTATCTTAAGGAGGCTACTGCAAATACGATCATTCTTATCTGGAATCGTTCCCACAACTCCTAAGAAAAGTGAGCGCAATAAAGGAAAGATCATTACCCTGCTGATAAGGTGCTGGTTCAAATGGCGGAGCGGCTCCTCGAGGATCCTGGTAATACACGTCTGCCTGCTGGGCGGGATATAACTGCGAACCCCGGGGCACCATCTGCATTGGTTTAGTGACAGGCATAGGAGGCAGGTCTGATGGCCCCCTTGGAGGTACAGGATGTGGAATATTCTTGGGGACAGTTTCTAGCCTATGGGAATAAAATTCTGTAAGTCAAGCTTAAGGTCTTGAAATGTACATAAATTATTAAATGTGAAAAAGAAATGCCACAAAATGGGGAAACTATTTTCTTCTGATAGTCATACCTTTTACAAAATGTATAAAATTTTACCTTATTTCACCTATGCTTTCTTAAAAATCAATTAACATAAGAAATAGAAATAAAAAAGAACAAGATGGCCAAAAATTTAGTTTTAAAAACCTGATTATTTTTCTTTTCCTCTACTTCGTATTTATAAAGAAGAAAATTTAAAATGTAAGTTAGGAAAATGACGTACAGGTCAGGAGGGGATCCGGGGGCGCTGCTGCTCAGATGATCCATCTTTCCTGGTTTCAGAGTAGAATCGTAGCTGGGGTCTGTTCCTCGGGGAATCAGCTGCGTTACTGTGTTCCCTGCTGACACAATCCCATTGGGCAGAGCAGGGGGTTTTCTGTTGGGCAAATCCACCGCACCTTCGTCAGGAAGGATAGCTGCTGAAGGCAGGCCCACCTCATTAAGCTGACCCATAGAGGCACTCAGGGGTTTTCTGGGACCCAAGCGTTTGTTCATTTTACGAAATCTATGTAAAGAGCAAAGCAACATACCAACATCAAAATTACAAAAGCAAAACCAAGAACACAAATGCATTTAAGAAACAGATACAAAAGTTAAAAGATTCTAAGCATACTGTTTTCTAGAAATTCTCTTCAAACATTGGCTTTAGCTATAAACTTGAGAATGTGCATGTGCAGATATATCCAAGCTCATTTTATGAGGCCAATATTATCCTAATTCCAAAAAGCAGATAAAGACAATACAAAGAAAATTATAGGCCTGTATGAAATCTCAAGCAAGACACACTGATTAAGTATAAAATTCCTCATAATATTTGTAACAATACAAATCATGCTAATTAAGCCTAGCTAGTGTGTGTCAGTGGTTGAATGTCGACCTATGAACTAGGACAGTGGTCGGCAAACTGCGGCTGTTAATGAGTTTGCCGACCACTGTCATATACTACCTTTTACCTCTTTGCATATAATATGCCACAATTGCCTAATCCTCACAGCTTCCAACTACACTGGTAACATTTAGTCTACCAGTGGTCGGCAAACTCATTATCAACAGAGCGGCAAACCACGGCTCTTGAGCTGCATGTGGCTCTCGAGCCACAGTTTGCCAACCACTGAACTAGGAGGTTGTGGTTCGATTCCCAGTCAGGGCACATGTCCGGATTGTGGATTCCTAGTAGGAGAGCGTGCAGAAGGCAGCCAATCAATGATTCTCTCTCATTATTGATGTTTCTTTCTCTCTCTCTCTCTCTCTCTCTCTCTCTTTCTCTCTCTCCTTCTCCCTTCTTCTATGAAATTAATTTTTAAAATTTTAAGAAAATTATGCTAATTAATATTTGTATTAATATAACTGTTATTTTCATTGAAATTTCTATTTCTAAAACTTATTGGAGAAGAGGGTAAAAAAAACTTTAAAGGACAGTGTTCTGAAAAATTTTATCTTAGATGTTCCTCAAATGCTTTGGGACAGTGAGCATATATTATAAATTAAGAATAAAACAAAAGGCCAGTATGCACTGGGAAAATTTATAATTTATTCCATTAAATCATTTAAATAATCAAGAATTGTAATTTGTATCAGATCTGATGCTGATTATAAGTGTGCCTATGCAGAACTGAAATTATTTCAAAATTGGGTTAATGGAAATCATGTAGAATAATGCCTAAATTTAAAACAGACGCTGTGGTATAAAAGGCTTGTAGATTCTAAATTTAACCACAGGAAAAAATTAAGTCATTAAACTCCAGTATCTGTGGTCCTCAACAATGAAAGCAAATCTATTCACAACTATTTAGTGAATTTAAAAAAATTCCAAACACAAACCCCAAACAGAGTAATGGTATTTTTTCAAATGTTTCCCATATCTGACAAATTTCTAGGGGGAAAAAAACCATCTACCTATCAGGGGTAACCACTGATAACAATCTGGTATATAATCATACAGATTTCCTCTCCATATCCTGCCTTAATATTCATATGTACATAATATTCATATATACTGTTTACAGAAATAGGGTCATATATGACTGCTTAGTAATTTTTTCTCCACTTTATAATCCTGACTATTCCTTTAAGTCAGTACATTTTAAGTTATTCCTAACTTTTTTTGCTGGTAAAACATTGTAATAATGGATAATTAATACATGTATTTGCACCCTTGTGTGAGTAACCAGAAGCAGACTTGCTAAGTCTCATGTAAGCACATTAGAAACTGTTTTAATCCTACTGATAAAGTTATTTTTCAGTATGTCATCAAACACTGGGTAGTATCAATCTTTGTTAATTGATAGTTCAAAAATACCAAGTTTTATTTTTATTTGCATTCTTTAGCAATTACTGAAGTTGAACAGGTTTATTGGCAATGAGTATTCATATTCTATCTTTCCACTGGTTCTTTGTTCTTACAGATTTATAGGAGCTCATTCTAGGTTAGGGATTATCAGCCCTTGTATATCATTTTCCTACTAATCTTTTTTCTTTCAATTGTGGTGTTTAGGACATATCTTAGTTTTTACTTTTCATGGTATTTATTTTAATGTATTATTGAATTCTAAATTTATAAATCATCTTTATGGATGCTAGGTTGTCATGCTTCCAAAAACCTTTCCTACTGTGAAATTATGTAACAATAACAAAAATCTCTAAGTACTCTGTGGTTTCCTTCTTAAATATTTAAATCTCAGATACATTTGTAATTCATTTTTGTATACAGATAAGAACCAGCTATAATTATTTTTCCAAAAGGATAGCAGTTATTTCATCATCTTTTTTATTATTGTTATAAAATGCCTCCTCTGGCACATATGCCCATGTATCTGGAACTCCTTCTAGATTTTCTATTATATTTAATTGATCTATTTCTATACTCTCAACAAGCATTTATATTCATTTTAGCTCATAATACTGGCTAATAATTACTGATTAAGTTCCTTTTTCTTTAGAATCTTCTTGGCTATTTGCATATTACTTTTAAAAAACAAAACTTTTATAATGCCCAGTCTTACCTAAAAATATAGTATTCTGTCATTTATAAATTCTTCCTTTATGTTCCTAGCTAGTCTACTAATTCAATTAATAAAGATACTGAATATTTCTTATTACTTGGTATTTGTCTTTTTGTTGTTAATACAAAAGGAATCCTTAATTTCACTTTACTGGTTTATATCACAGCAAGTTATTTAATTTTTTTTCTGAATTACCACCTTACTAAACTCGTTTCTTTAGCTTCAGTAGTTTTCTTGAATTGCTCCATGTAATAATTTTAAGTCTATTTTACTCTTACATACATTTGTTATTACTTCCAGAACATTAACTAACTGTCTTGCTACTAGTCTAGCTGAAAATTTTGCTTTATTCTTCATTTAAATGAGACTACATCTAATTAGTTATAATTAATTACACTAATTAAGTATGATACTTTCATACTGGCTTTTGTATATGTTATTATTGTCCTGATAGGGGATTTTGATCTATTATGGACATTAGGTTTTATTCAAATGCCTTTTGGAATCTTTGGATATAACCACAAGGTATTTCTTCTCTTACCTTAGTAACTAGTATTTTGCTACCTTTGTAGTTAGCCATGGCATCTATTTTAATGTATTATTGAATTCTAATTTTAATATTTGAGACTTAAGAAGTATTAACAGCCGAGACTGGTTTGGCTCAATGGATAGAGCGTCGGCTTGGGGACTGAAGGGACCCGGGTTCGATTCCGGTCAAGGGCATGTACCTTGGTTGCGGGCATATCCCCAGTAGGGGGTGTGCAAGAGGCAGCTGATCGATGACTGTCTCTCATCGATGTTTCTAGCTTTCTATCTCTCTCCCTTCCTCTCTATACAAAATCAATAAAATATATTAAAAAAAAAAAGTATTAACATACAGGATAAATTTGTAGTTTAATTGTGTGAGTTTGTCAAAGTTAGTATTACTGGTTTTATAAAAAAATTAAAAGGTTTTTCTTTCTATTATGTGCTGAAAAATTTAACATCATTGGAATTATCTGATTCTTGAAATTTAAATTAAGCCTGTGAAATTGAACCAGGAAATAAAATAATTCCTTTAATAGAGCAAAGGGCCAATTTTTCCATTGGTAATGCACTATTCATTTAGTTAAAGTCAGTTAAAACTGATGAAAATTCTTAGAACTTTCATTTTTTTGATAGTTATAATGATTCACTTCTAGATTTGGTTAACCATAGTTTCCTATTTTTCCCCCCCAAATATATTTTATTGATTTTTTACAGAGAGGAGGAGAGAGGGATAGAGAGCTAGAAACATCGATGAGAGAGAAAAATTGATCAGCCGCCTCTTGCACACCCCCACTGGGGATATGCCCGCAACCAAGATACATGCCCCTGACCAGAATCGAACCCAGGACCTTTCAGTTCGCAGGCCGACGCTCTATCCACTGAGCCAAACTGGTTTCGGCTAGTTTCCTATATTTAGGCATGATATAAAGAAAGCTGAAAAAATTGATTCAATTTTCTTTTTAAAATTTTGCATTATTTTCTAAACATTTCCTGTTTATTATAAAGAGAATGCATCTACTCCTCTTGTATTTCTCAATGACAGAAAGTTATTCTACTTAATAATTCAACCTTATCTATCAGAAGGCTGAGGCTAATGCCTTTCTCACTTACTTTTCCAGTTCCTCCTGGGAGTGTGCAAATGTACAGCTGGCCCCACGAGGGCATCCTCCTCTCTGCTTCATATCTCGACACATGTATGTCTTGTATTTGCTATGCTGTGGAGGCTAAGACCAAAATTGAAACATTAGACATTAAAAACAGATGGAAATTTTTCACTGCCATTTTAGAATCTTGGTAATCTAGATATACAATTCAGATTGATTCACACACTTAGCCTACCGTGAACAAAAGTGCTAGAAAATCATTTTGTCTGAAGTCTCAGGGTCCCAAAATAAGTAAGTTAATTAAAAAGAATGTAGCCAAATTTTCTGGTATGTTCTCAAACATGCACCATCACATAAATTCTTGATTAAGTCTCAAGGGGGCACTATGATCTTCTTTCTAGGTTTGTAACGAAAGTCCTAAACCAGTGGTTGACAAACCGAGGCTCACGAGCCACATGCGGCTCTTTGGCCTCTTAAGTGTGAGGCTCTTCCACAAAATACCACGTGTGGGCACGCATGTACAACTTCGTGGCCCATGCGCAGAAGTCAGTTTTCAGCCTGAGCGAGTCTATTTTGAAGAAGTGGTGTTAGAACACTCAAGGGGCCAAAGAGCCCCATGTGGCTCTCGGGCGGCGGTTTGCAGACCACTGTCCTAAACCATTAGCATTTAGGACTTTCAAATGTTTAAACTGTGTTCTAATATTTGCTTTTAAAAATGTGTAGGACAGTCTACTTAGAATTATGCTTCTTTATAACATACCACAAAATCTACAATAGGCCCTATAACTGAAAAAATATTCTGTAACCAATTTTTGACATAGGCTCCAGGCGTCTTCAAACTTTTTAAAGTGGGGGCCAGATCACGGTCCCTCAGACAGCTGGAGGGCCGGACTATATGAACTACTAATTCCTACTGTAACACCTCGGCTGCGCTCACTGCCCAAAAAACCTGGCGGGCCGGATCAGACTCCTCTGCGGGCCGCATGTGGCCCGCGGGCCGTAGTTTGAAGACGCCTGAGTAGACTATATCAAAGACTTAACATATATCCAAAGGTATAAAGGAAACATAATTTACAACTCAGTGATAAGGCAGAACAACAGATCTGGGAGTTAATATCAAATACAATACTAAGCAAAATGATACTTAATGTATTTTATCATCTACTGCCAGAATTTCAAGGTTATTCTTACTATTTTTGTTACATTATTTATGTCTAGTGGAATAGGGAGTTAAAATAGATTTTGATTTCTTTTATTTCTGAATCAAAACATAAAGCTCTGATCTGTTCTTAAATTGATTATGGTAAGTATATCCATATTATTCTTCTTGGGACAGTTTTAACATTTATCTCCCAAAGAAGATAAGAATAGTAAATCATCATCGTTAGTATTTACCTGAGCCAGATGAATTAAAAACAAAGTTTTAATTTCTCTTTATTACTGAAGAATAAAAGATCTAATGAACCTAACATAAAATCTCAGAACAAAACAAAATTCTGGGGAATAAAATGAAAAACTTTAGCCACATGATCTATTATATTTTAGTGCCATAAATTTCATCTTAAAATACTTGAGGAAAATTTGGCATAACAGATATTATGAATGAAAAATGTTAAAATACTAATATAGAAAAAGCATTTACAAATAAGTGAGCAGCACTGGAGAGATGTAGTATTAGCACTAAAAAGTGATACCTGTTGTCTGACAGAGATGTAATAGTAACCAAAGAGAATAATTTAATTTAAATTGAATAAACTTTAGCGCAGAAGCAAACGCTGCTATATCCAATGTGAACAGTGAGTCCAGTACATTATTTCATTCAATGTTGTCACATAAAATTACTAGGCTGATCCAGGAAACTGGCTGCTAACCACACTAACTTACTGTATCGTTTCTACAGTCAGAGCTTTAAAATGCTCGTGTTACTTCACTGGCTTGTGTCTCTTACCTGCTGTTGATCTGCTCCTTTCTTGCTGTGGTTCTGGATGTAATCAACCAGCCCATGTACCACTGTACGCACAGCAACCAATCCATTTTCTAGCTGTTCCCAAGTAGGAGGAGGAGCATCTACACAAAAAATAAAAATCAATTTTTAAACAATGTTATCCAATGTTTTGCTCAATATTAAATTAATAAAGGAGATGTGTCAGCTCTTCAGTGAAATTAACTTAAGCTTCAGGTAGTAATAGCTTGTTCTCCTTAACATCATTGTAAAGAATAGCTATATTCTTCTAAATCTGGGGCTATAAACTAAAATAGCTATTGGAACAAGGAAGGTAACATAAGGGAATTAAGTAGGCCAGACGATAAATGGCAACTGTCAACAGATGCTTAATTTTGGAAATGACAACAGAAAAAGGCAGGAACTGTGTCGAAATGGAGAGTATGTTTCACATCTAAAGTCACGGTCACTATTAAACCTTAGCTGATGGTTGTTACATGAAAATGCAAGGCTGGCCCTGCCATATACACCAGTTTCCCGGGGAAAGGTGAAATTTGAGATTTTTTTTAATGTAAAATTACCCAGTTTTTATGTGTTGGTATCTAAAAAATTTGGAATATTTGCAGGCCAACACTGTGTACCAAACAAAACTTAACTGTGGATTGTCTACAGGCAACTTAATTTGTAATGACTATTTTGAAATTTTGCATAAATCAAGTATTGGTAAACAGAATATTTTTAAAGTTCCACAGAAGAGCTAATATATAAAGCAACTCTACTATACATCCTCTTCATTTAGTAAGTTATTTGTCCAGGGCCAGCATTGAGATTTTATAAAGGAAAAATTAACCACAGGGCTTTATATGAAGTATTCTTTAAAAGAAATATAAAATGAGAACACAGATGCAGATATGACTTGTGCTGGGAGACATTCTGAAAGATTTAGAATGTCTAAATCTAAACTAGGCTTTGAAGGGCACAGGGAATTTTAACAACAAAAGGATGAAGATAACAGAGAAAGTAAAAAGCATAGTCACACAAAAAAAGTTTTTTGTTTTTGTTTTTTGAATTTCTAATTCCTAAGGATTGTTCTCATTGCTGGGGAAGCAGTGGCAATCAAACAAAAACCACTGCTGTATTCAAGGAGAGGAGCCAGACAATAGGTAAGATGAATAACCAAAATACAAAGTATTTTGATAATAATTAGTTAAATAAGTAAAGGAGGGGAGTGAGACGGGTACAGGTACGTGTAAAATTTCAGACATGGTAGCCTGAGAAGGCGTCCTTGACAAGGTTACATTTAACCAAAGACCTGAAAGAAAGGTTGATATACTAGGAGAAAAATATTCTGGGAAGAAGGAAGACGCAGTGCAAAGCCACTGTGAGAGTATGCCTGGCATGTATAAGGAGCTGAAACCAGAGTGAAGTAAGTTGGATGGAAAAGAGGAGAAACAAAGAGAAAGGTAAAGGAAGACCAGATCTTGGGAGACCTGGTAAGTCATGGAAAAGATTTTGGCTTTTATTGACTGACGAAGGCCCTGAGGAATTTTGAGCAGAGGGGTAACAGTCACTTTGGTGCCTATGCTTAAACCAGACAGACACCAGGAGGCAATTCTATAGTCCATGAAGAGAGATAAGGGCTGTAGAAGTGAAAGTGATAGTAGGTGGATTCTAAATGGATTTTACAGGATATGCTGATGGAGCAGATGTACCTTAGAAAGATAAGTTGAAGATATCACCTAGGCCTTTAGACTGAGGAAATGGAAGACAGGAATTGCCACTAACTGGAATGGGGGTGGAGAGGAAGCTTGGAACTCACTTTTCAACTGATTAAGTTCAAAATTCCTATCTGATAGTCAAATAGAGAGGTTGGATATTGAGCAGGCAGATAGATATAAAAAAGAATTCTGGAAAAAGATGTGGGCTGGAGATATGTTTCATAGATCCTAAAATACCATCAATTGTAACACCACAAACCAGTATTTTATGTGACCCCATAATTTAAAAAAAGATAGCTAATTAAGTTATCACATATCACTGATTGTTCAAATGCCTTCCAATTTCAGAAATGCTAAGATCTGTAAAAATAAAACAACTGTAGACTTAAATAATATTTCAAGCACAATCTAGGGAATGGGTATAAATAGAAAACAGAAGAGATACAAGGATTAAACTCGAGAAGCACTCCAAAAATGAGAGACTAGGGGGGAAAATGGAGAGGAGAAACCAGCAACAGAGGCTGAGAAAGAAGATCCTATAAAGAAAGAATGAAACTAGGAGAGTAGTGGCCTGAATTCAAGTGAAAAAAGTGTTGCAAAAAGTAAAGTAAACAACAATGGTAAATGCTGCTAATAGTTAAAATACAATTGAGTATCAAGAGCTGATGTATGGAGTCAGCTAAGAGGAAGACACTTGTAACGTTGACAAAAGCACACTGAATTAAGTGGTAGAGATAAATGTCTGGCTACAGTAAGCTCAAGAGAGTGCTATAAAAAGGAGAGAAATAGAAAAATGGAGTGGTGGGTGGATGGCAAATGGTGTCAAAAGTGTGTTACAATGAGAGGAATAATTATATATTTGTATGTGATAAAAATACTCTAGTAGAGAAGAAAAACTGGTAAGAAACAAGTCTGTCTGGAAGACAGCCTTGACAAGATGATATTAGTATAGGAGAGGAGAGGGTGGCCTTAGGTACAAGTACAGTTTATCCATGCTTACTTAAGGAGCATATATTCTACTGGCACAGATGCAGGTAGACAGGCTAGGGGTTGATGGAGTGGTGAGCTTGTGAAAGTGCTCTTTTGATTGCTCAGAATGATCAGTGTGTGTGGCGGATTGTTGTGTTCTAGGAATGGATCTAATCTGGTTTGATTAAGCAGTTTTGATAGTAAATCTACAAAAGTAGATTGATAAAAATTAGAGAGCTCTGAATGCCACAGTCAGGATTTTAAAACCTTATTCGATAGGGTATCACTGAAAGCTTATGGACACAGAAATGAGAGCTGTGATTTATTTTGTAGCAGTAAGTGGAATGGATGGCATTCAATCTTTGGAAAAGGACTGAGGCCTCATTAAGGCGTATTAATATTAATGGACATGGGATAAAGGGATATTGTGAAAGAACAGATAGATCCTATTGTCTGGAATAGTATGTAGAATAAGTGAAAGGAAAAGATATAAAGTAACACAAAAGACTCAAGTTTTAAGCTCACATACTTTAAGAATAAGGTCATTTTCAGAGAATGGGAATAGGAGGAAGAGAGGGTAATGAGTGAAGACGAAATAAGATGATGGTGAATCTCAGAAAGAGGGTCTGGAGTAATGAAGAGAAAACAGTGATAGAGATATTTGGGAGCCTATTCTATATAATAAAAGCCTATTATATAGGCAAATTATTCGACTGGGAGTTCGATCATTTGCGCAGACCACCAAGGGGTGGAATGGAACATAGCAGGCATCAGCGATGTGGCACTGGCAGTGGGTGGCAGTGGAGGTGCTGCTGGCCCTGATGAGTGGGACCATGGCAGGATGGTGGAGCAGGTGATTGGGTGGCATCAGGCCAAAGCAGGTGCAAGCAGGGGCCCTGATCACCCTGCTGATCACCCCGCAGACAGCAACCAGAGGTGGTGGGGTACAGGAGCCCGGCCCCAATCGACTGCCCTGCAGGCAGGATGGTAGAGCAGTTGAGGGGGTGGTGTCAGGCCACCACAGGGTGTCACGTGGGGCAGTGGTGCTGCAAGGCTGGGGGCATGAACTGGGGCCCGATCCCCACAGGCCAGTCCAAGGGGCCCCACCCGTGCACGAATTCATGCGCTGGGCCTTTAGTTATCTATAAAGAGTTAATACCTGATGCTGGGAATGAATGACCACCTTCAACAGAGTGCACAGAAAAACAAAATTCTAAGAATACAACCAGCCAACTCCTTGATGGGCAGGAGAGGGAAGAATGGTAAAAATAAGAGAGAACTAGCAGGTAGACAGGTCAGAAGAAAACCATAAGACTACAGTTATAAGCTATTACAAGAGTTTCTGTATCAAGGAAGTAGTCAAATGCTGAAGACAAATCAAGTAATTTAAAGACTAAGAAGCTGCCTTTGGAATAAGAAACTGGGAGGTTACTAGTGAATGTTAAGAGGGTTTCATATCAGTAGTGGAAATAAACACAAGGACAATAGAATACAAGCAAATATCTCAGATGAAGTATTAGGAGAAAAAAATGAAGTTTGGGTGATTTTCAGGTCAAGAAAGAACAGGAAAAGGGGTGAAAATAAGAGAGATACTTGATGGAATGAGATACAGAGAAGGAAAACATGGGACCAAACACATACAACTAATGACATATGATTTAGAAAAAAATGAAAAAACTTTAGTCAAAAATGATGAGAATGGTAAAATAAAGCACAACTCGACAATGAGAGAAAAAAGAAAAAAGGGTTTCAGAGAGAATCTACTGTGCTGGTGAAATGAACAGCATAATAAAAAGTATTAAATAAATATTAGTTGAAGTAATATAGAAAGACAGACAAAAATGGGGGCAGAACTTAAATACCGCAGAAGAAATTTGCAATAGCCATTCTCAGATTGGCAACAAAAAATAATTAAAAGATTCATTTAGCAGCACTAAAGCACACATAGGACAGTCCATTAACATTCCTGGGTTTACCTGGACTGGGGTCAATGTTTGCTAATAGCTCCAAATGGGGTCTTAGTCGGTTCAAATTTGCTGGATCTCCAGTTCGCTGGAGAGCAATTGTTAGTTCCTGGACACTTTGTGCAAAAGAGGCTGGAGTCTGCAACTTAAAAAAAGAAAAATATTAACTCTCCAAAGGCCAGAAAATCCTTTGGGGGTAGGGAGGAGATTATTTACAATATCACAATCATTTGTGCAATTTATTAAATTTAATTTTACCCTTCCACACATCCCAAGCTTTGGCCAGATACGTACTGTGCCCTTGCTTCCTTCTGCTATCACATTCCTTACATGTGAGACCTCTCAATTCTCAGTTTGGAAGTACTCTTTTATTTTATTACAGTTTGGCTGTTGGGGTCCTTCCAAATAATTGAAATTTGGAAAGAGAGTCTAGAAATAATGCTATACAAAGGACATAACAATGAAATTCTGTTATAGACCAAAGATTATGACACCAGCTATAATCTTTACAGACTCTCTCTAAAAATCAATGGGGGAAAAATATCTTCAGATGAGGATTAACAACAAAAACTATCATTACGAAAGTTTCAATATGCTATAATCAGTCAGTCATTTCAGACCTAAAAGTTGCAGGTAAAGTTTGGCTAAAGATATCTAGGGGCCCTAGCCAGTTTGGTTCAGTGGATACAGCACTGGCCTGCGAACTGAAGAGATGTGGGTTTGATTCTGGTCAAGGGCACGTACCTTGCCTGCAGGCTTGATCCCTAACCCTAGTCAGGGCACATGCAGGGGACAACCAATCAATGTGTCTCTCTCACATGGATGTTCCCTCTTCCTCTCTCCCTTCCACTCTCTCTAAAAATCAATGGGAAAATATCCTCATGTGAGGACAAACAAGAACAAAAAAGGTATCTATGGAAGACGTATAAGACAAAAAAGTAATATATATCATATTGAAAATTTTGCACCAAATAGTTATAAGACACATTTCCCAATTCTCCTTTAACATCATATTGTACTCATTTAAAGAATTCTATTTTGGGGAACAGGCGAGAGAGAGAGAAAGAAAGAGACAGAGAACAGCAGAGTAGCCCAGAAAGATGCTTGGTGATTAAGAACATGAATTCTAGAGTCAGAATACCCCAGTTCAAATCCAGATCTGTCACTGGAGAAAAGTATTTAACCTCTTTGTCTCTGTAAAAAAGGGTTGATGGGGAGAACTAAATGAACTGTTTAAACCACCAGGCACATAGTATGCTCTCAGTAAGTGTTCAATATTTGGGCAACATCTTGACCTTATTTCTCTCAGTTAATGATTGGGAACTCTAAGTATATCATCTCCATGGTTATAAGTATATAAGGTAAAATAGTAAAAATTAAATTAAATACTATTATTGAATATAATATATTTACAAAGTGTTTTTATAGCACTTTCATGAATTATAACACATTTATGGTATGCTCCAAGATTTTTTTTTTTTTTAGTATGCTCAAGTTTTAAGAGAATTAAAATTAGCTCTTTAGAGTCAGAAATAAATAAAATTCATGTGAACTCTAGTGATCTTTTCAACATCACAACAAACAACAAAAATTAAAAATAAGTTTACTGAGCCGAGACCGGTTTGGCTCAGTGGATAGAGCGTCCGCCTGCGGACTGAAAGGTCCCGGGTTCGATTCCAGTCAAGGGCATGTACCTTGGTTGCGGGCACGTACCTTGGTTGCGGGCACATCCCCAGTAGGGGGTGTGCAGGAGGCAGCTGGTCGATGTTTCTCTCTCATTGACGTTTCTAACTCTCTACCCCTCTCAATTCCTCTCTGTGTAAAATCAATAAAATATATATTTAAAAAAAAATAAGTTTACTGAAAATTTGATCAAACTTAGGATGGTTGGTAAAATTCTAATGGTTGGTGAAAATTTTTGGCTGAAAATAATATGAAGCCTCAGTGTATACACCTTTCAAACCATTAAATGGCTGCTACAGGCAGACAATAAAAGCACTTAGGAAATGGGCTTAACTATTAGGTCTAGTAATAATTAATGTCGTTTTCTAATATTATAACACAGTGAGCAAAACTCAGAGAACAGTAAAAGTAGGGAGAGAGGCAATGATATAAAAGAAATGCCAGCTTCTCAAAGAATGAGCGAATGCATGCTGGAAAAAGCATTAAAACAATCAAATATTATATGAAAAATGTCAATTATACCTCAATTAAAAAAAAATCTTTATATTAGCAAACTGGTATTTAAAATATATATATATATATATATTATTGATTTCTTACAGAGAGGAAGGGAGAGGTATAGAGAGCTAGAATCATCGATGAGAGAGAAACATCGACCAGCTGCCTCTTGCACACCCCCTACTGGGGATATGCCCGCAACCAAGGTACATGCCCCTGACCGGAATCGAATCCGGGACCCTTGAGTCCGCAGACCTACACTCTGTCCACTGAGCCAAACAAGTTTCGGCAATTAGCAAACTGGTATTTTGATGTGACTAGTTATGACATGACACCGGACTATAGAGAATATAAGTAATTTAAAGAAGTGTGACGTATAGTACACACTTTAATACACACTTGTTTAATAAATGAATCAACAAAATTCCAGGATTACTGCAAGAAGTAAGGAACAACAAAAGGGTCTACCTTGTCAATAATGGACTGCATATGAGATTTGTGAGACTGGTCTCCATACAACAAAGAGGACCACTGGTCTGGTGCGATTCGTAAGCCTGCTTCCATAGCAATCTGAACTATCTGGGAGTCATGCTCTCGCCGCAGAGCTTCATAGGTCCTGAATTCTTCTTTTAGTTGCATCAAAGAGGAGTCTTCATCCCGTTTGGTGACCTAATAAGACACACACAATCTCATTGTGAGTCAGATAAGGAACAAAATGGACTTATTCTTTATAAGAGCATCTATGGATAACAGATAATTTTCTTTAAAAAAATGTTTTTAGTGATTTCAGAGAGAGGAAGGGAGAAGGAGAAATAGAAACATCGATGAAAGAGAAACACCAATCAGCTGTCTCCTGCACGCCCCTACTGGAGATGGAGTCCGAAACCCAGGAATGTGCCCTGACCTGGAATCAACCAGTGACTTCCTGATGCAAGGGACAACACCCAACCAACTGAGGCACACTGGCTGGGCATAACAGGTAATTTTTAATGTAACAAATTTCTAATAGTAACAATAGCAAGGTTAAAATGAAGCACACCATTCTGCGATATAAAACATTTCCCTTTTATAGATGTCAAAATCCCTGGAATGATATCAGAACAAAGAGCCAAATACAACTTATTTCCTGCTTCAATGACTCTCTATCCAGACCAATTCTCCTTGTAGTCTTGGTAGAAAAATGACCCAGCTTATTAGGCTCTCCAAATAGAAAAATCTATAAGCCTCGGTTTGATCTATGTTGTTCAATATCTAACAAATTTAATATAAAAAGATTTAAGTTTAATAGGATGCCATCTATATTCTTTAAAAGAAAAATTGCTGAATTTTCTGAAAAGACTCAGGCAACTTTATTAAACTAAAAGTTTTATTAATTGTCTAGGGAACGAACAATGTTTCCTTTAAGCTGAAACGTAACAGAGGTTCATACCTTGAAACAGGAGGCTCTATACAGGAGCTGGACAACATGCCCAATGCTAGTTTTAGAGGCTTGAGGGAACCGTGGCTCTAACCTTTGCACCACAAAGAGAACCAATACTTTTCTTGACAAAGCAGAACCATCTTCTAAAGCCAGGAGAACCAACTTTAGAGCTTCCTCCTGCATTGCTAGGAAAAGTTGGGCAAAATCAAAATTTATCACGTGCAGGGATAAGATAAATTCACTCATAAAAGGGCAATACCCAATAATTTTCACAGGTGTCAGTTAAATAGACAACACAATGATAGACAATTACGCTTTTTAATCTTTGGGGCTTTTTGTATTACATTTTATTTACAAAAGAAATAAAAAGTCAATACATTCAAGAAAAATGTCTATAAAATGAATAAACTTTTGGCATTAGGGAAAAGTTAAGTGCTCTGAAAAACTGACATGGAATCACCCAACCCATAGTTATCAAGTGGAATATTGCTTGATAACAGGATTTGCAATGAACTAGCCGTTGTATATATGTATAGTCCCCAGACCATACTTTAAGAATTACTAGTGTAGTATGTATGGAATTTAATTCTATACCTGGTCCAAGGAACTGGCAGCCCCGAGCCCTTACTGCTGCCCAAAGATTAGAAGAGAGCTGCTGAGGATTCTGGTGCTGGAGAATGAGCTCTGTAACTGTTCGTTCACCTAACGATCGAGCTGCTCGCATGGCACGGATCCGGCCTTCTTCTTCCACTAGTTGGCAGTGGACCAGAGTTACCAGCTTCCTTTGCATTGGGCGACTCAGAACACTCTGAGTAGTGCTATTCAGACCCACTCCTTTAAATAGAGTAAAAAATTGTTTCTAGGTTTACAATGCCATTTTAGAGAGTTCAGAAAAACATCCTCAGATGGGCTGACAGACTTATGTGTTCTACTAGAATATTTAAAATGAATAACAGAATTACATAAGTGAAGCATTTTTAAAAGTATACAACAAAAGCTTTTACCTCATACAAATACAACATTAATGACATTAAATATACCATTATTCATTTTAATCATGGAGAAATAAAAATGAAAAGGCCGGACAATAATAATTAAAGACCCAAATCTGAAGGTCATAACAGTTCTGACATATTATTTCATAGTGAAATAACAAACTGTAATGGCAAGATAATAATGGCAATCCAATTTTATTACCTTCCCTATAGCACAAAATATAAAACTGAATAGAAGGAAGACAATTCAGTTGCCAAATGATAGCAAGCCCTTCTAAAACCATTATTGCATTTATACTTATACTTATTTCTGTAACTCATTCAAATGTTTCCAACATCACATAAACTCTCAATTCACTACTTTATTTGATAAGATTTGTAATAACATTATTTAGCACTAGTGAGTTTGATTTATACTAAATAAATTTCATTAACATTCATTTATAGCCCACAATTTTTATGGTTATAAAAGTATTTTTAATAAACATGTGCTTAGCATTCTAACTGCACCTGACTTACCTCTAGCGCTGCTGAGTGGTTTCAGGTACAATGCTAATTCTTCTACACATTTCCTGGCTTCGTCATAATGCTTTGTATCTTCAACCCCACTACACAATGTAACGGGCTGCTGCTCAGGGACCTAGAGATCAAAAGAAGAGGTCTTCGTCAGTGCTTACTAATTAATTAAACAAGTGCCTTCTTAGTATGTTTTAATGCATTGCCATTTAACACCAGTAATATCAAAACTCACATTAAATATACTGGATTCTTAAAGAACTGCATGTTCTTTTAAGTGTTATTCCTCTCATTTTTTTTCCCACTCCCACCCCAGCCCAAAAAACTAATTTTATTCTCTTTCAATATACCCAAAGTAATCTGCAGGTTTAGTGTAAGCACTATCAAAATAGGAAGAAAAGAAAAAGCTGCACTTTCCCTTTGAACGAATATTTTATAGTATTATTGATGACATAGAAACAAGTATATAAGTAAATTAAGTTTTCCTTTTGAATAAAAACTGTTCTTTTTACCTTCAACATACATATTAACCTTCTCTACTTTCTGCACCCTTTAGGAAGATCTGAGTGGGTTTAATCCAAAATTTCAGTATATTTATTCCGATAATGATTTACGGTAAACAGATGGTACTTTGGACATTATGCAAATTAATCTAGTGAGGGGTTATTTAAGTGAATCATATCTAGCTTTCAAAACCCTGCCTCCCATGACTTTATGAAGCCTTCTGAAGATACCATTGATCTTGAATTTAAGAATACTGACATAAAACTTTCAAAGTATTACTTTCAGAATTACCATCTAAACTTTATGGTTATCTAGGGATATTTGCTCCTACCCTAGATAATTGGTTCCCAAAGGCTGTGGGCTACAGTTTCTTGTCACCTTCTTCTTCTTTCATTTTGATTAATATCTACTAAGTAAAACTGTCTGAAGCAGCTTCACTTTTCTTATTAAGTAAAATGCAATGGTTTTGTGAATAATATTTCCTCAATATAAGAGGTCCTTGTCACTTCTTAGGTGGACATTTCATATAAATAGAACATAAAATGATACAATAGCTTCCAAAGTGGCAGCACCATTTTTGCATTCCCACCAGCAATAAAGGAGTTTCTGTTACTCCACATCCTCAAGGAGTAAGGGTTGAATTGCTAAATTTGTTGAGAAAGTTGGGATCACCAGATTAAAACATTGTTACCATATATGACTGAGAAACACTGGGCTACCAAGGGTAAGTCTCCTAACAGAATGAAATAAAGGATTGGAACAGTTCTGAACAGAATTTTATCTATTTAAATAGAGGGCAATGCTACTTAATTTAAAAAGTTTGCTTCAGGAGGAAAACACACATGGAAATTAAAAAGTATAGTAGTTCACCCACCATACCTGAGCACCCACTAGCTGAAGCAACGCTGAGTTCACGGGAAGGAGTTCAATGTCTGTATTGATAGTGGTCTGGTCAAATGGGCAAGCCTTCCGGTGGAGTTTATTCAGGCACATCTTGCAGACAGTATGGCCACAACCCAAACTGATGGGCTTTCGAATTGTTTCGTCGAAAGTCTGAGTGCAAATCGGGCAGGAAAGGAAATCCGTCCACTGTGGAGCTTGTACAGGCATTGCTTCTGGAGTTGCAATTCACTAACACACACACACACACACACACACACACACAATATCTAAAGCAAAGATTCCACTGGAATCAAAATCTTTGAAAAAAGTTTATCTTTTTTTTTTTAATAGTTTCTGTAGATAGTCAGCACATAGTGTGAAATATAACCTGAAAAACAAAGAAAAAGAAAAAAAATCAATCTCCCTTTTTAAATTAAACTGTCTTCTCAGCCTACTACCTCCAATTTTTTATAGAGCATTTGAATCACCATACCCTCTTTTTGCACTTTTACAGAATTAGAGCCATAATAAAACATCCAATCTCAGCCCCTCAATTTAAAGATGAGGGACAGACCCCAGAAAGATAGAATTAACTTGCCTAAGGTGACACACGAAGTTAGTAATAAAAATTAAAAAATCCAAGACCTAAGTCTCTCAAGTTTATCTAAATCTGTGATTGTTTTATATTTAAAAATAAGCCTTTTTAAGGTGGTCAATAATATTCTGTTTTTTAATCTATTCACCAGTTACATGAATCTGTAAACAGCTGTGAAGTTTTATCAAGCTCTACACTTAAAATATGTACATTCCTGTTTATGTTACCCCTCAATAAAGAAGGAATTGGCCCAAAGTAAAAACTACCTTAAAATACTTTATCATCAAATTCAGTATGGGTAATGAGATAAAAAGAAATTGTAGTGTGTGTTTTTTTTAAGATTTATTTTTAAGGATTTTAGATATTCTTTTTTTAAAATGCTCTATTTTATTGATTTTTTGGAAAGAGAGGAAGGGAGAGGGAGGATAGATAGAAACATCAATGATGAAAGGGAAACATCGATCACTGCCTCCTGTACGCCTCCCACTGGGGATCCAGCCTATAACCTGGGGATGTGCCAAGGCGGAATCAAACTGTGTTCTCCTGGTTCATAGGTTTATGCTCAAGCATTGACCCATGCTGGCTGGGCAATAAAAAAATTAATAATAACAACAACAACAATAATAATAATAATAATAAATCTCTAAATGTTTATATTAATAAAATAAATAATTAATATTATCATTTTTTCAGGGCTTTTTGTTTTACAAGGAAATAAGATCTCCTAGTAAGAAAAGTATTTTAATGAACAATAAACAGTAAGACCAATGACTCATTCTACCAGTTCAGTAACTAGTCTGCAGATATCCAATTCCAACTCTCATAGCTGCTGTATGCCTCTGCAAAATAACAAATAACTATACGTTGTGAGCCTCAAAGGTTTAACTGTGATTAAAGCAAAGAGCTACTATAAACTTACCACATGATATAACAGAGCTTAGTTTTCTGAAAACTATCCATGTGCCAGGGATTATTTTAGGTATTTTCAGATACTTCTCTTACTTAAATACCAGAGGCCCAGTGCACAAAATTCACGCACTGGTAGGGTCCCTAGCAGCTGTTGGGCAGGGCCTCCCTTCCCCAGCCCAGCCCTGCCCCCTGGCTGAACTCCCGGACAACTCCCAGTTGAGGGAACAATTTGTATACTATGCTTTTATTATATAGGATCTACCATAAGTCTAAATCAAAATATAAACTTCCACCAGTAACCATTATCTGTTAGGTATTTTAGCATTTTCAGTGTTCTATACACAGTATCTTATTAACTGAATGGTCACAGCAATGATATTATGTTATCTCCATTTTGAACATAAAGAAACTAACGTACAGCCTGGTCAGTGTGGCTCAGTTGGTTGAGTGTGGTTCTGTACACTGAAAGGTTGTGGATTTGATTCCTGGTCAGGTGCACACCTACTTTGAGGGTTCAGTCACCATTTAGGGCACATACGGAAGGCAACCAATCAAATAAAAATATCATGGTCATGTTTTTTTTTCTTTCTCTCTCTTCCGTTTTCTAAAAGCAATAAGCATACCCTGAGGTGAGGATTAAAAATAAAAAGAAATCAAACTACATAGAAGTAATCAAAGACACAAGACTAGTAAGTGGCAGGATTGGGATTCAAACTCAGACAGACCTAACTCCCAAACAAGTACTTTTAAATCCTATAATTTGTGCCACCTTACAGATGCAAGTTAATAGTCACTAAAGTGAGGGAGCTTTTAGGGGTGATGGAAATGTTCTAAAATTGGATTATGGTGATGTTGCACAATTCTATAAATTTACTTAAAATTGTTGAACCGTGCACTTTAATAAGCTAATTTTATAGTATGTAAATTATACTTCAATAAAGCTGCTAAAATAAAAGGTCAGTTTCAAATTTTTAAATGTAATAACTTAAAAATATAAAGAACTTCAGATTTGTTCTATGAGCACACAATACCACTATTAAATAATTATATTGCTTTGAGGATTTCATCCACATATTACAAAATGATATTTTAAATGTTGTTTTAAAACATATTACCATCTCATCTATTACAGGTTCATCTTATCTGCTTCTCATTTAGAGGGCAAAACACAGAAATGAAAAGTCATCAAGTATCTACTCTGGGCCAGTCACTCTTCTGAGGCATTAATAGGCCCATCTATACTAATAAAAGGATAATATGCCAATTAAACCAGGAGACCTTCTGGACATCCTTCCGGACAAAACCATGGTGGCAGGGCCAAGGCAGAGGTGGTTAGGGGTGATCAGGCAAGGAGAAGAGGGCAGTTGGGGGCAATCAGGCCCGCGGGGGGGGGGGGGGGGGGGGGGGAGAGCAGTTGGGGATGATCAGGTCAGCAAGGGGGGCAATAAGGGGAACTTGGGGGCGATCGGGCCAGCAGTGGAGGGCAGTTGGGGGCGAGATGGCCGGGGGGGGGGGGGGCGCGCGCGCGCAGTTGGGGGCAAGTAGGCCAGCAGGCAGAGTGGTTAGGGGCGATCAGGCAGGTGGGCGAATGGCTAGGAGCAGGAGATCCTGGATTGCAAAAGGGATGTCTAATTGCCAGTTGGACATCTCTCGAGGGGTCCCAGGTTGGAGAGGATGCAGCCTGGGCTGAGGGTCCCCCCCAATGCAAAAATTTTGTGCACTGGGCCACTAGTTTTATAGAAAACTGCTAAGCTGCTGCAGCATTAAATAACTTGCCCAAAGCTAAAATTATGGAACTGAGACTAAAACTCAGCTCTTATATGAACTGAAGAATAAGTTGCTCTGAGGTATTATATCAAACAAAACTTACTGTCTGTCAGAAGGCAATCTTGATCTATTCCCACCCACCCTACCCTACCCTACCCTACCCTATGAGTTTAACTCATTATTCTTGGCCTTAACTTAACCTACCATTTCTCTGGAACATTTCCATAGCAACCAACATGCAGGACAACACCAGAGAAAAAATTTTAACTAGCTTGAAAAATAAAGCTAAAAGCATAAAAATAAAACAAAAAGAAGAAAAATAAGTAAAGGCTTATAATAACTATTCAGTGTTATAAATCTCAGAAGAATATAAATTAATTTACAGATAAAATTGCAGCCGGAGATATTTAAGAGCAAGGTTTCTCCAGCAATAATACCTTGTGAAGAAAGACCCAATTGCATAACATCCTAGATATAAATAATTTCATATGCTAATGTTAGTACTAATGGAGAAATACTTGGAACAAGTATGATGAGAAGGGCTTTTGATTTAGAGTGGGAAAGGCCTGAAAAACAGAACTTGATAAAGAAGGGTTAAGAAATCTTCAAAGGGTTCAATTAGGTAGCTTACTTACCCAGTGTGCAGAGGGACAAAAAGAAATATTTCTATCTCCAACTTAATGACAAGTTTAGAAGAAAAATTATAAAAAACATAAATCTATTCCTGGGGTAGCTGCCTAATCTGAAGCTGAAACAGCCTGTGAATGACCGTGTCTAACTTTGTGTAAGCAATCTGAAGCTCCAGGGTTCTATTCTATGTAACAGTTACACGTTGTGTGTAAATGTGCTATGCTGAAAGGACAATCAGCAGTTACTAAGAGGTGATAGAATGACAAGGCCAGACTCAAAAGCATCATCATTAAGATCCTTTAAGCAGAAAAACCATACCCATTATAGCAAAACAGCAAAGAATTATTTTCTTTCAGTTTTTGCATTAATACTCTGTGGAGTGGTACATATACTATATTGTCAAATACATAAATTTATCATCATCATTGGTAACCCAAACATCAAGGACATAACAGGAATAAAATCAAGATAATTTTGGAATATACCATGTATTTTAGTTCATCTGTCTTCTGTTAACTGCTTTCAAATTAAATGCAAACTTCTGAAACTGGCTGTTTCCTTTGTAAAAACTGATGTCTCCTTAATTAAGGTTGTTTGCTAAATCATAAAGATAACTCAGTCCCACACAAAAGATTCATGAATAAATTTTGAAAACTAGGCCAAATATTTTAATGAGACTTTAGTTTTTCAGATCACATCCTGAAATCGTCCTCCTGCTTCAATAATGGCTCCTTTTTGTAGAGGAAGTTTGCTCCCTGTGTACCCAGAAGTTATTTTGAGACACAATGACAAATCTGATTGGCAAGTAGTCAATAATCTTGAATGTAGGGGGAAAAACTCACAATGAAGAGAAAATCTAACTCTGCCTCATAAATTTATATTTCAGACTGTTAAATACTAATCTACAGACGGGAAAAACCCAATGAGATTGAGACATTTTGAGAAGCACCAATATTATTTCTTTAACTTATCCCAGATTTTACTATTCCTTTCCCCACCAGCACACTTACATCCTCATTTAGAGAAGCTAAAAAACACATTTCTGTCTCCCACCTGTCTTATTTAAAAAAAATTTTTTTTTAATCATTCAATCCCTGTCCCTATCTTCTCCTAGACTCTATTTTCTAATCCCTTACCTCTCAGTTTTCAAACTACACTTTTCCACAACCACTGTTCTGAAATGACTTTAACGGGCATGTCAAAAACTTTTGTATCAAGTTCAATGGTCACATTTCAGTCCTTATCTTTCTTCTTTCTACAGAGCATTAATAATGTTGACCAGTTACCCTAGCCGGTTTTGCTCAGTGGATAGAGCATCGGCCTGTGGACCGAAGGGTCCCAGTGGTCAAGAGTAAGGCACTGACACGTACTTTGGTTGCAGGCTTCTCCCTAGTCCAGGCTCATGCAGGAGGAAGTAACCAGCTGATGTGTTTCTCTCACATCAATATTTCTGTCTTTCTCTCTCCCTTACACTCACTCTAAAAATC